CAGCATTTATCATTTGTAGATTTTTTGATGATGGCCATTCTGACTGGTGTGAGATGATATCTCATTGTAGTTCTGATTTGCATTTCTCTAACGATTAATGATGTTGAGCATTCTTTCACATGTTTGCTGGCAATCAGTATATCTTCTTTGGAGAAATGTGTATTTATATCTTCTGCCCATTTTTGGATTGGGTTGTTTGTTTTTTTGATATTGCGCTTCATGAGCTGCTTGTAAATTTTGGAGATTAATCCTTTGCCAGTTGCTTCGTTTGCAAATATTTTCTCCCATTCTGAGGGTCGTCTTTTGGTCTTGTTTATGGTTTCCTTTGCTGTGCAAAAGCTTTTAAGTTTCATTAGATCCCATTTGTTTATTTTTGTTTTTATTTCCATTTCTCTAGGAGGTGGGTCAGAAAGGATCTTGCTGTGATTTATGTCATAGAGTGTTCTGCCTATGTTTTCCTCTAAGAGTTTGATAGTGTCTGGCCTTACATTTAGGTCTTTAATCCATTTTGAGTTTATTTTTGTGTATGGTGTTAGGGAGTGTTCTAATTTCATTCTTTTACATGTAGCTGTCCAGTTTTCCTAGCACCACTTACTGAAGAGGCTGTCTTTTCTCCATTGTATATTCTTGCCTCCTTTATGAAAAATAAGGTAACCATATGTGCCTGGGTTTATCTCTGGGCTTTCTACCCTGTTCCACTGATCTGTATTTCTGTTTTTGCCAGCACCATTTTTGAAGAGATTATTTTTCTCTATTTAATTGTCTTGACATTTCTGTTGAAAATCAATTGACCATACATGTAAGGGTGTATTTCTAGATTCTCAGTTTTATTTCATTGATCTGTATGTCTAACCTTATGCCAATAGCACATTCTCCTGATTACTATAGCTTTGTAGTATGTTTTGAAGTCAGGAAGTGTGAATCCTCTGACTTTTTTTTTCTTTTTCAAGACCATTTGACTGTTATGAGTCTCTTGCATTTCCATATGCATTTTAAGATCATCTTGCCAATTTCTGCAAAGGCCAGCCTGGATTTTGATAGGAATGGCATTGAATCTGTAAATCAATTTAGGGAGTATTGCCATCTTAAGTCTTTTGATCCATGAACATAGGATATCTTTCCATTTATTTGTCTTCTTCAATTTCTTTCAACAACGTTTTATAAGTTTTCGTTTGCAAATCTTGTATTTAACTTTTTAAAAATGTGTTCCTAAGTATTTCTAAATGGAATTTTTTTTCTTAATTTGATGTTTGGATTGTTCATTGCTAGTGTATAGAAATATAACTAAATTTGTGTATTGATCTTGTATCCTGCAACCTTACTGAACTCATTTGTTAGTTGTCATAGTTGTTTTTGCAGATACCTTAAGATTTTTTCTCTACAACAACAGGTCACCTGTAGATAGGGATAGTTTTACTTTTTCTAATCTAATCTCAGTGCCTTTTCTTTTTCTTGCCTAATTGCCCTAGCTAGATCAATGTCAAATGGCCATGGTGAGACATCTACATCCTTGTCTTGTTCCTAATCTTAGGGGTGAAGAAGACAGTCTTTTACCATTAAATATGATGTTAGCTGTGGGAAGTAGTTTTTCGAAAGGACATTTAAAGCTCACTTATTCACTTTTTTATTTAAAACCTGTCTACCAGGCATTATGGTAGAATACATTGGATAGTTAGAGGTAGGCAAAGGCAAGTTCTCTGAAGGAGGAAGCATAGCATTTTCTAAAATGGTAGTAATGTGTTTTGTAAGAGTATTACCATTAGCTTCTCATCCTTCAGTAGTTATCCTTCACCTAAGTGTTGACTTTAATGAGAGTTCTTTTTACAAAGATAATATTGTATTATTACCATAATATTTGTTTCCATTTTAGTGTCTTAAAGACTTTTCTACATGATCCTCTTGTGGAATGGAGTAAACCAGTGAAAGGGCATTCCAAAGCACCACTGAATGAAACAGGGGAAGTTGTCAATGAAAAGGTTAGTAGAAGGTGTAGCTTGATATGAACTGATATTGTATATCTCTACAAATGGGAACTAATTCTAAATACTGTCAGTGACTGACCATTGAATACTCTGAAATTTAGTTCTCTATCTAATATGACAATGCCATAAGTTTTCTTTATTGTCATTACTAATGTTAACATTCTTATCATTAGTATAATAAAAACAGAGTTCAACATGCTTGTTTAACCATAAACAAATCACAGTTATGATATAGAGTGGGAAAAACTTGAACACAAATTGCCTGAATTTATAGAGCAGCAGGTCTCAGCTTCAATATGTAGAACTCTTTACTAACATAGTAGTCGCTTGTCCCTTGATTTCCATGGGGGATAGGTTCCAGGACCCCCCTGTGGATACCAAAATCCTGGAATGCTCAACTCCTGTATATAAGATGCTGTAGGATTTGTATATAACCTGTGTATATTGTCCCATATACTTTAAGTCATCTCTAGATTACTTACAATACCTAGTACAATGTAAATACCATGTAAATAGTTGTAAATACAGTGTAAATGCTATGTAAATAGTTGCTGGTGCATGGCAAATTGAAGTTTTCCTTTTTGGAACTTCATGGAATTTTTTTCCCCTGAATATTTTCAGTCCGTGGTTTGTTGAATCATTGGCTGCAGAGAGCTGACTGTATTAGTCGAATCCTCAAATTTTCCAGATAGTTATTTTAAATAAGTTAGAATAGATTTGAGGATTGTTTTTCTAATTACATCATTCTCACTTTTGCATTCTGATATGCTTTCTTGATTGAGAAAAATATGTAGAATTCCAAGTAGTTCACTTAGAACTCCCATTTGCATATAACATAATCTAAACATTAGGCATTAGAGTATTGTTGCTGTTATTAGAATACTAATGTTCAAATGTTTAAGTCCTAAACACTTTTCAGAGTAGATTTTTTTATATTATTATTTTTCTAGACTCCTAACATGGAAGAGATTCCCTGGTATTTCAGAGTCCTGAAAAATGTCCAAACAGTTGATGTTAGATCAACATTGCAAGCCTCGAGATCAGTATCTCAAGTTATTGTATTTGTTTCATTGCTTCTCTCCTTTGTCTGCATTTGCTCTTACAAAAGGGGTAATGATCAGTAAAATGGCATTAATATTTGTTAGATAAAAGAAAGGCAGTAATTCCAAATTATAAACATCTACATGTCATTGGGTCCTTAGTCCTTATGATTTTCAATTTCTTTTTAGGCCAAAACCCATGTTCTTGACATTGAGCAGAGACTACAAGGTGTAATCAAGACCCGAAATAGAGTGACAGGACTGCCATTATCTATTGAAGGACATGTGCATTACCTTATACAAGAAGCAACTGATGAAAACTTGCTATGCCAGATGTACCTTGGTTGGACCCCATATATGTGAAATGGAGTTACTTCAAAGAATATGTTAATAATCTAAAATTAATGCACTTGGATCATTAATCTGTGGTTGTATCTATTTAATTCCAAAGTACAACATATGTTTATGTTCTCACAGTAAGTGGTATTTCTCCCTGATTGTTAATATTTAAAATAATATATGTTGTTAAGAAATAAACTGCTTTCTTAACATATACTGTGTATAACTGGAGAAATGGAATATCATATGTTCTTATGCTCTTAAGAAGATGTATTTGCGAGAAACAAGCCAGCCTAATTTCATTTTACAACTTTCGTTGATTTTAAGTACTTACATAAGGATTCATTTGAACAAAAAAACCATATTGAATAAATACTGTAGACAAAGCACGGATCGCCTTCCGTCTCGGAACTGTCTAGTAAGAGAGATGTAAACATAGCACATCATTAAGTTCACTTAGTAATAGTCTTTTTGTATTTGTTGAAAATGTGATAGGGAAAAAAATTAGCCAGTTAACATGAATATGAAAACTATATAAACATTCTGTAATTTTAAAGATGCTGCCATACACTTTTAGTGTACCAGAATGCAGAATCCAGTGGTTGGGGGAAACAGCATCACTTAAAATTTCATGAGGTTTTATAATCTAAAAACTTTTAACGTTAAATTTCGGGGTACATTTTATTGCAGAAGATTTAAAATAATTCCAAAGCAAAGAAGTTATTACATACAAATAAATGAAAACATAATTTTTGTAACAATTTCACTTAAGTTTATCTTACAAAATTCTGCCTTTTTGTACAGTTGAAGTGTGATGGGGGAAAATATAATAACCCAAGAGGTATAAATGTGAAAACTAAACGTATACTTTCCTATCGAAGGCCTAATAATGTTAAGAGTTAAGGAGGAAGCTGGGTGGAGGGGAGTTAGGAAATCAGTTTACGCAAATAATTTGGAAAAGAACTTTTTTTTTTTTTTTTTTTTTTTTTATTTTTATGGTTGTGTTGGGTCTTCGTTTCTGTGCAAGGGCTTTCTCCAGTTGCGGTAAGTGGGGGCCACTCCTCATCGCGGGGCGCGGGCCTCTCACTATCTCGGCCTCTCTTGTTGCGGAGCACAGGCTCCAGACGCGCAGGCTCAGTAATTATGGCTCACGGGACTAGTTGCTCCGCGGCATGTGGGATCCTCCCAGACCAGGGCTCGAACCCGTGTCCCCTGCATTGGCAGGTGGACTCTCAACCACTGCGCCACCAGGGAAGCCCCGAAAAGAACGTTTTTAAGAGAAATTTTTGTTGTATCCTGAAAGAAAAAATTTCCGCTCACAAAACAAACTAAACCAAATCATCAGACCTTTCCAAATCTGTGTTGAAAAACAGAGATTAGTAATCCCAGAAGACGGAAGCAGCCAGGACTCTTCCAGTCGTCTCGTGAGATTTTCACCCCCTTCCAAATCCACTTAACAGCGCTCAGGTCTGTCAACTGACATTTTCAGAACTGGATTTTACACACGCGTTCAAAAATGCCTGGGCGCTCTTAAATGTTACCAGGCAGCTCCGCTGCAGCGAGTTCGGGCCGGGGCTAGAGCCCCGCCCCGGAGATGCGATCTCGAAGCCGGCCGCTCTAGGCCCGGCGGCCGCTCTCTATGGTTGGGCGGGCGGTGTGTTGTCATCTGCGGAGCGACGGCCGGAGGCGGCGGCGTAGGCCCCGGCGGGGCGTTTGGTTTCGGTTTGGCCCTGACTTGAGTTAGTACTGACGGTCGAAATGGGAGTCCCCAAGTTTTATCGATGGATCTCGGAGCGGTATCCCTGCCTCAGCGAAGTGGTGAAGGAGCATCAGGTGGGTGAGCAAGGGGGCAGAGGCCCAGAAGGCGGAGGACCCGGGGCTCGGCGGCCCTTTCTCCACCCTGGGACGGGGGTCTCCGCCGCCTCCTTCTGCTCGTCGTCAGCTGGCTGAGTGGCGAAGGGAGGGGAGCAGAACGTTTGAGAACACCCTGGTGATCTGAGTGGGGGCGAAGACGCAAGTCGCTCTCCTGTGGGCAGAGCGGCGGGGATGCTGCTGTTCCGACAGCTCCTGCCCGGGCCGGGCCTGCCGCGACTTCGCAATCAAGTCCCGGGGAGGAGCGCTTTCGGGAGTGCTTCCCTTTCCTCCCCAGGGAGCTGCAGGTTTCGTTTTTCTTTTTGGAGGTGGGATGGTTGTCCTCCTAGGACCTTCCCCCAATCCCCAGCCAGAGCAACAGGCCCACGTACAAGCAATAATACCGGCCTCCGCAGTTGAATCCCCTTGTTTACTTTACCTTATCTAGAGCTGCATCCCGCCCTACCCCCAACGCGTAGACTTTTTGACGTGGCTGATGGTTCATATTTATGATACAGTTCGTTACTCTTTTTCTATTACCCCAAGGACGGTACCAATCCCCTGTTCCAAAAGAAATAAAAATACATTTGGACGGGGCCGGGGCAGTTATTTGGAGGCTTCATTGGGTGCATGTGTGCGTGTGCGCGCGTGCGGGCGCGCGCGCGCATGTGTGTGTTTGTGAAAGAGAGAAGGGGGAGAGAGGGCGGAAGGAGATGGGGGAGGAAGGAGACGTGGGGTGAACGGAGAGAGAAACAGATTGTTAGAGCACTAATACTAGGAATAGTAATATTCGGTATATAATGACCCCAGGGCAACGTTTATGTGCAGTCTTCAAAAATGTAGTTTAGGTATTGGAACTGCAGAAAAAAATAGTAAGCAGTCTATTAGGTAAACTGGACTTTGGGTCTAGTGTTTGTCACATTTAATGGTTTTGGTAGCTCTTTTGCGCATTTTATATTTTACAGAAAAAAAGTCATTTTTGTCTCCGAATGGAGGCATGGGTTCAAATCCCACTTCTCACACACACACACACACACACACAGTCATTTTTGAAATTTGTACAACGAATTGAGTTAGTTGAGATGGATAGCATTGTATTAACGTGGAGGGAAATAATACAGTGAACACCATCATGCTGTCTATTAAATTATGGTTTATTATTTTTAAAAAGTACTGTAAGCATGAAGATGGGGTTAAACTTCTGGAAAGGATTCTTTGTTGTTGGATTCCAGTCAGGTTTGGTATATGAGGAAAAGCTTACCCAAAATTCCAGAATGGTGGTTTGTCTTTAATTTATTTGAAGCATGGGTTGAATTAGATTTAGGGAAACATTTCTTTCCAGAGAAGAGGATAAAAATGGTGACAACTAACTTAGGCTTTTCCTGGATCCTTCACTCAAATATTTGAGTACCTGCCATGCATCAGGCACTTTATCTCTAAATTGAAAAATTCAGACTAACTTGACAATGCACAATCTGTTCAGTAATATTTTTACTCTGTACTCTTTGGCACAGAATTTGGTTTGGTGTAAGGATCTTGGATTTTCTCCATCTTGAGGAATTTTGTTACTGAACAAAAATAATGGCTTTAAGGCAGTTTTATGACACGAACACTAACAATAGGTTTAAAACTTGGTTCATCAAAGTGATGTCTTTCAAAAAGCAATCACCAGCTACTCTCTCAAGCAGTACTTAAAAGATGGTAGTTCCTAAGTCACAGCAGTTCAAAAGCTAGTCCTTGGGGGAAGGGACTGGATGGAGGGGTGGGTTCTGGGAAGATGGTGGCAGTGGTGACATAGAATAGTTTTTGGTTTCTCTGAATCCTCATTTGAAAACAGAAAGAGAAAATAGATAGCTAAATTTAAAATCCATAGAACAATTACAACAAAACCATGTGACAGGGTATCCCCATGAACCCCAAGGTACAATTTGGTGGGGACAGACTACCGATAGCCTCTAGACCCAGTTGGTATTGGCATGTGTGCAAGAGGAAGAAGGAGAAATGGGGCAACATTTGATGAACCTGAGAGCAGAACTCCAGAATATTCACTAAGACTCCACAGGCCTATTAGATAGCAGTAGCTGTAACTGGGGGGTTTTAAAGGGCAGGAGCAGTCTAACTCCTGTGAACCCTCAAAACTGACTTGGCAAGGTACCATTCTAAAGCAGAGCCCACCCTAAGGAGAAACTGCTGGGAGTGACATAAAATTTTATCAGGAAGGGGACAAGAGAAATAAGAAGGTCAAGATAAAAGTGAGGGAGGGTTACAGAGTCAAGAAATCTTAGAAAACAAACCAGGCAAGCCACCATATTTTTTAATACTACCCCAAAATAGCAGAAGAGGGAGCTTTGTAAAGTTAAAGCTTTCCTGAACCCCTTCTCATTCCGAAAGTTCAGGAAAATTAAGTTTACATAAAAATGAATGATAGAAAAGTGTCAAGGTCAAATAGTATACAAAGTTATTATGGGGGAAAAGGGGAACAAAATAATATTCATACAGACAATAAAAGCTTGCAATAGAAACATGCACACATAACAGACCAAAACTATAACCTACTATTTCAGAATGAGCTAAAGGCACTAAGAAAATAAGACATGAAAGAACAACATATATCAGTTACAAAAACTCAGGAATAAGGTGACAGAACCTAAAGAAAATTAGACATAAATGGCAAAATCACGTCAGAAGTGAAGCCTAAAGTAGTAGCAAGGCAAAAACAAATGATGCCATAAGAAAAAAATAGAAGGTGGAAATAAGAGAAAATTTTAAAAGATAAAAAGGTTCAAAGCAATATAACAGAACAAATACTAAAACTATAATTAAAGAAACCTTTCCTGAAATTTAAAAAAAAAAGTTGAAGCCATGTTAAAAGAATATACCATATACCCAAGAATATTGACTCAGATGACCAACATCAAGACATGTTCTAGTTAAATTCATGAAAGAAAAAGAGAAAAAAGCTTTCGTCACCTACAAGAAAAGAACATATGACTTGTAAGGGAAAGAAAATCAGGTTCCCGTCATAGTTTTTCACAGTAGTGCTTTATGCCAGAAGAAAATGGAGTAACATAAAGATACTCGACTGACTTTTAAGTGTAAACGATAAGCTGGTCAAATAATCAGTGTAGGAGAAGTCAGGCAATGTTGTTCCTTTGAGCACTTTCTTGAGGAATCTGCTAGAGAATGAGCTTCAGACAATCAAAAGGACTGGGGAAATATCAACATAAATACCAGTGGTGAACATTAAATATAATTTCTGTAGAACAAAAACAAAATAAGAGTGAAGAGAGAGTTTAGTATATGATGGCTCTGTGTTCTGACAATGTTTAGATAGCACAACTATAAAATAAATGGGAGTAAGAGAGAATGGGGAAAAGTTATGCAAAAAAAATTATATTACCATTAATCATATTAGTGGTAATATTAATATTGTTTTTCTGAAATTCGTGTGTGTGATGTGATAAATACCTAATTAAAGGGTATTTTATTTTATTTATTTATTTATTTTATTTATTTTATTTTTTTGCGGTACGCGGGCCTCTCACTGTTGTGGCCTCTCCCGTTGCGGAGCATAGGCTCCGGACGCGCAGGCTCAGCGGCCATGGCTCACGGGCCCAGCCGCTCCGTGGCATGTGGGATCTTCCCGGACCGGGGCATGAACCCGTGTCCCCTGCATCGGCAGGCGGACCCTCAATCAGTGCGCCACCAGGGAAGCCCCACAGCTCCCAATTTTGAAAACCTTTCCTGTACCACTGGGTAACCAAGAGGCAGAATGATCCCCTTTATAAAAGTATTACAATTAAAAAAAGAAGTGATAGAATATCACCATTTTGCAACCTCAAATAAGTTAATAGAAATAGGCATTAAGCACCAATGGATGGTAATATTAGAAAAAAGAAAGAAAGGTGACACAAACAAATAGTAGAGCTTAACTCTATTCCTATTTTAGAGAATTCTTGACATGGATAGTGTATACAAGACATATTGGTGTTTGAATGTGTACACACCTAGAACTATTTTTGATGCCTAGTTGAAGTGGTCCAGTAGTTTGGTAGAAGTATATTATGACTATAAAATTATAGTTATTTCATAAAATTTTAGTTATTTCATAAATCTGTATTGAATATAAAAATTATGTACCATAGGATCGAAACATATAGAGATACATAATATTTTGTGCAGTTTTATCTTACTGTTAGCATATTTTTTGTTCAGTGAAGGCTTGGGAGTGTAAGGAGTTAAGTAATAAGTAAATAGGGAGAAAGAGAGGAAGGAAAGGAGAGGGAGGAGAGATGAAACCAAGCAAAACATTATTTTTTTAAAAAAGCACTTTCCTTAAAGTTGAGGACAATAGACTAGACCAGAATGTGGAAATTACAGAAAGATTATAAAATACCAAACAAACAAAAAACAAAGCCTAATACAGAAAATCCAAGGGGAAGTTGCACGTCTACTATATGCTTACTCAATGTCCTAGGTTACTGGAGGTAGATGGGGGAAAAGAATTAAACCCTCTGACCAATAACATTTACCATTCTAAGAAACCACAGATTGCCCATACACTATGGTCCAGTTTCTATGCAGATACATATGTAGATAAATATTTTCAATAAGTGGGATAATAATTTACCTGCTGTTTTATAACCTACTTTTGTCATTTGACCATATTATTATGTACATTATCCCATGCCAAATATGAATCTATATTATAATTTGTAATTGCTTTGTAGTATTCCCTTGTGTGGATGTACCATTATTAATTTTCTTTATTATTAGGCATTGTTTTCATTTTTTATCTTTTTTTTAACTTTTTATTTTATATTGGAGTATAGTTGATTAACAATGTTGTGTTAGTTTCAGGTGTACAGCAAAGCGATTCAGTTACACATATATTGACATGTATCCTTTTTCAAATTCTTTTCCCATTTAAGTTGTTACATAATTTTTTATCTTTTCCGAACAATACTGCCATGAATAATCTTGTACTTATGTCTTTGTGCACATTTCTGATTATTTCTCAGGATAAATTTCCAATAGTAGAAGTCCTGGGTCACAGATGTGCACATACACACACACACACACACACACACACACACACAAAAGATGTGCACACCTCAAATTTTGATATATATTTTCATATTAGTTACACCAGTTTATATTCCCATCCCAGACTGTTGGGTATATGTCTATGCCACCTCTCTCCTTTTTAGCCCTGTGATTTTCCTCTAATATAAATTGGGGAATCTAAATACCTCTCTTTTAAGATTGTTACCATAATTAAGTGAGAGAATGAATGTAAGTGTTTAGCCCAATGTTTGGCACCTAATAAGTGCTTAATAAATGCCAGCTATTGCTTTTAATAACATGAAATATGCATTTCTCCAAATCCTTACCAATATTGGGTAACATCCATCTTTCTAATCTTTGCTAACATGTTGGGGAAAATGATGTATCATTTTAATTAGAAATTTGGGAATGTTGAACATTTTTTTCATATCATTTAGACTTTTGTGTTTCTTCTTTTGAATTGCTTTGCATTTTCCATACTTACTTTTAACATATGCTCTTTTTCTTACTTGATATTTGAGGGTTGTTTTGTACATTAGAAATGTTGACTTGGTCCTAATTTGCAAGTATTTTCCTGCATTTTGTCATTTTCAGTTGGGCTTGTTTATGGCACTATTTTTTCCCTA